ATCCAGACAAGGAGTGGTAGCATGTTCATTTTTTTTTTTATTGTATCAGTTATTTGTTACGATCGAAAAAGGGGTTAAATTTTGGCATGGGTGGGGTTGTATTTTTCAACGAGTTCTGACATCCGTTAAATTCATGTCGTCTGGGATTTTTGAGTTGTTTTTTTTTTTTAATTTTATTGTTAACGGCAAAAATTCTCACGGCATTTTTTGTATTTGTATACTTAAAGATTTTTGGAGGATGTTTAGGGTAGAATACGTTTTATTTAACTACTATTTTAAAATATTTTTCCTTTTAATTTTTAATAGACTATATTTCTTTTTTAAAACAAGTAAATGTAATAGAATTACTTCCAGTATATAAAATTATTTTCCATATCAAAAGTATGTATATATATATATGTATGTATGTATGTATATATATGTATATATATATATATATATATATATATATATATATATATATATATATATATATATATATATATATATATATATATATATATATATATATATATATATATGATAAATTTGGGCATGTAATCACGACAAAGTTATGTTATTGAAATTTCATTTTTTTTTATCCCTATTTTGAAGGATTTCCATGTCAAAATTCGGATACTTAAAGCGGAGAGTATAAAATGTTAAACGATTTTTTAAAAGTCACTCATTTTCTGTTTTAGTCACGAGCAACACCAGCTTGGGAAAAATAATATAAGACTTAATTATTTTAAGCACACACAAATGCATACACACAACACATTTTTCGTTATCCATCTGATGAAGCCATATAGGCGAAATGCATTATCGGATATTATTTTCGAAACGTATTTTTCATGAACGTTTTCCCAAGGCGACTGCTAAGATAAGCTTTCTTTTGTCTTTATTCATTCATTATATATATATATATATATATATATATATATATATATATATATATATATATTAAGACATTTTTTATGTTTATACGTTCTTTTTATAAATTTTATAATTTTAAAAGTGTCTTAAAAATAATTGTCGGACTTTTCATAATGTTGTCCATTTCATAATACAGGGGTCATTAAAACATTAAAAGATAAAATGCCGATAAGTAATTCATCATTTCCCTCGGACCAACCTTAATTGTTTTATGACCCTTCACGCAGAACTCTTCACTGTCAATTCAAGAAAGACATTCGAATCACTAACACAAAAACAGAGAATGTCTCATATCGAGAATATTTAACATTGAAAAACATAACGTAAAAATTAATTATTCTTAATAATATGTGAAAATCTCCGCCTTTTTACCTGAAGACGGTCGCGAGACCAGAAACACGTGTAGTAAAATTATGGAAAATAAAACATAATATTTTTTTTTTAAAAAGTCAACATTACAACCAAAAACGTTTGCGGCACCTCTCTTCACTTTTTTTAATATATATTTTTTATATATATATATATATATATATATATATATATACTTTAAACGTTATTATTAGTGGATACTCATATTTGAGTAGACGCTCCGTTTATTTATTAAACAGTATATTTACTTATTTTCGTCTACCACATTGAATATTTGAGAAAACTTATTAAAGATTAAAGAAAAATATGCGCTCTCCGGCAGGATTCGAACCTGTGTTCTCCTAGGTGAAAACCATCATTAGATCTGATGTGCTAGGACCGGTCAGATTAATAAATTAAAAATCCATTCCTTTCTTTACAAATTGCTTTGTTTACATTAGGATAGGAAACTCAACAGATATGTCTATTTCAAGAGTCAGAGAAAAATCTGTTTAAAGGCACTATTCAATTTTGCTTGGTCATCGATGCACTCTGTAGCCGAGAAGTTAAAGCACGTCAGATCTAATGATGGTTTCCCCTTGGGCAACTTGAAATTAAGCCATTCCTTACCTCAGTTAACAACAAATTGTAAGTCAGGAGATATAAGCAATTGACTGTTTCTTTCTCGTCTTTGTTTTTATATATATATATATATATATATATATATATGTGTGTGTGTGTGTGTGTGTGTGTGTGTGTGTGTGTGTGTGTGTGTGTGTGTGTGTGTGAATTTAGGCAGCAATCCTTCTTTCATGCACATTTCATTGAATACAACAGACAAGGTGCTTTTATTTAGGTTTTTATACAATTTCTCATGCGATCTAATTTTTTTTTTCTTTTCAGATGATAAATCATATAAAAAACTGTCCGAATGTTCTTTTTTCCGAGCGCTTTCGGCTATACATTTAGCCATTTTCAAGGATTAAATATTTTAACTGTTAAATAAGAAATAACTTGTTGCATCTATGTTTTATGAAATGTTTTCATTTTTCAAAACACTGTCAAGATATTGTGTCCATGTTTATCGTTGATATTATTAATTTTTTTTTCTTTATTAATAAGGTTTCCATTATTTTTTAGTCTTTTTTTGCATGAAGATGATGCTATTATATTAGTGTTGTCAACAAGTATGTTACGAATAGTGTCCGGTAGGTCTCCATGAATATTTAAATGAGATCTAATTGAGCTATGGTCTGAAAGATGTAGAGTGAGTCTCCGTGTCAAACATGTTGTAGTGTGGCCTATATAATTATTTACGGATTTTGATTCATCAAGAATACAATTCATTAATGGGCATTTAAATTCGTAAATAATATTTGCCTTATTTAATTTTGTCCTCAGAGGTGAATTATTTTTTTAACTATAAGGTTAGAGGTTTTAAATTTTTTGTAATAAATAATTAATCTAATTTTTTGCTATTGTCAACTGAAAAAAAAATTATTAGATCGCATGAGAAATTGTATAAAAAACTAAATAAAAGCACCTTGTCTGTCGTATTCAATGAAATGTGCATATATATATATATATATATATATATATATATATATATATATAATATATTAAACGTTATTATTAGTGGATACTCATATTTGAGTAGATGTTCCGTTTATTTATTAAACAGTATATTTATTTATCTTGGTCTACCGGCCTGAATATTCGAGAAATCTTATTAGAGAAAAATATGCGCTTAGAAATTGCTTTGTTGACGTTTGGATATGATACAAAACAGGGCAGATATGGAAATTTCGAGAGTCTATGACGAGAAGGATTTCGCCTTGAAAGCAAAGTTCCTTCATGGCCGAGTTGGTTAAAGCTCATCAGATCTAACGACAGTTTCCTATGCCTAGGGGTACGCAGGTTCGTATTTTATCCCAGTTACAATAAGTATGTCTTTGTACTTTACAAAAGATCGAAAGTACATGGATTAAAAAAAAACTAGGGTGCCATTCTTGATGAATTTCATTTTAGCATCAAGAAAGTGATTACACAGCCGGAAAGGATCAGTATAAAAATAAGTAGAAACAATATGTCTACATTATTCAATGAAACATATATGAATGAAGATATGCTGCTTAAATATACATATACGGCGTGCAATGGATAAATTGTCGTCAGAATTAAGCAAAAATTAACATAACACTGACATATCATTTGAACAGATATATTTACTAAAATTACACAAAAATATCTTGAAATACTAAAGAGTAAATTTATTCAATAAAATCCCCATTGGCTTCAACCATGGCCTCCAGATGACTTCAGAATCTCCTGCAACTCTTCTGGACGGTCTCCTTGTTTAAGTTGGTGAATCCTGCCATAATCCTTGTCTTCAGTTCATCTTTGGTGTTACAAAGAGTTTTGTTGCAACTGCACCCCACTCATAATAATCAATTGGGTTGCTGTCTGAAGAGTTAGGGGTGATGTGGTCGCAGAAATTGTCTGACAAACATGACTATGTTCTCCTGCTTGTATGACATAATGCAGAGTCCTGTTGCCAGACAAAGGTTCTTCCAGCATCTGCTTTCTTGACCCAGGGCATCGCTACCTCCCCAAAGCACTTGATGTAGGCCTCCGTGTTGAGGCCTTCACCAACAAATTCGAGAGTTCTTTTCTTAGAATGAGTTTTCCGAACTGCCATACCTTTGTAATCACCATTAGACTCATCCAACTCTTCCCAAATATTCTTCACTGTCCTCAGATTGACACCCAAACACTATAAAATGTTCGTATTGGAGCATCCAGCGTGAATGCCAAGTAGTACAGCGTGCCGTTTCTAAATTTCTGGCGGAGTGAATTCCGTTACGGTGCTCTTTTTCTCTACTATACTGTGCAGATGATAACATCAAAAACAAACAACGCGCATGCGCGAAATTAAAAATATAAAATGGTAGCAATTTATCCATCGCACACTATCGTCTGTGTTGAATAAGACGGACGCATTCAGCGTTAGTTGAAATAATCTATACTCATGAAGTAATTTGAGATTTCTCTGTTATGTAATCCACATGCTCCGTTATAACAAATACACTGAACTCTTTTTGCGAATCAGCTTTAATATTTTATATTATTAGGATCCACTTGGACTATATACCAACGATTTATTACCTCTACAATATATATATATATATATATATATATATATATATATATATATATATATATATATATATATATATATGGGGATATTTCGGTAGTATTCCTCTTTCATGCAAGTTTCACTAAAAACAATTGTCAGTCGTTTTTAAAAAACTTGATATATATATATATATATATATATATATATATATATATATATATATATATAAACCTTGGCAATTAATGGAGCACCCAGTAAGAATCGGATACGCTACAAATGATCGACCAAATTAGCATCGTTAACCATTACACGACATCCAAGAGCGTTTTTAAAACTAAGCTGGCTTAGTTTGACACAAGGCCACTACTATTAAGCACCCAGTAAGTTTCGAATTTACTATTAATGATGGACGAGAGTAGCCTCGTTAGCCATTACACTACACCGATGCGCCCTTTTAAAGAGTAGCTTAGCTTAGTTTTAGTTCGGTACAGGAAAAACTGCTTCATATACATATATATATATATATGTGTGTGTGTGTGTGTGTGTGTGTGTGTGTGCACGTTGCGTGCTCGCATCTCTTATTTATGCAGGGATGCGAGCGATGGAGCACACGTACGCTCTTACATGCGCGTGCGTGACATTTTTTTACCCTGTCTACTACTCTGCCATCCATGCCGATCCCCTCCTACCCTTCCCCCTACCAACAACACCCCCACCCCCCTCATCCCTAGCTCGGCCTTTGTGCTATATCTACATCAACGCACCATCGCCAATGACTCAGTCAGCAACAAGTACCTTCATCCCTCTCTTTTCCTTCATCCAAACCCCGTCTCCGACCCCACTAGCCACGCCAGCCCGGTTCCAAACCCCTAACCTTCTGTTCCCGCATCCATTTTCGGCACTGGGAACTTGTTTTGCCCTAAGGCGATCTGCAAGGAAATTGCTGTGCACGATCTATAATGAGATTACATCTTCGGGAGGAGAGAACGCGGGAAAACGAAATGCCGGAGAATTGGAGGACAGACGTAGCATGAACAGTGCATTCCTTTCAAAATGTCATTGCATTGATGAAAACGCTGAGTTTTCAAACGCCCGGGATACGTCTTTGTTTGTTTTCGTTTTTGCATATATATATATATATATATATATATATATATATATATATATATATATATATATCCTTCCTGTTTTCATTTTATTTATTTAATTGTTTTTATTTTTATATTTATTTTGCTTATTTATTATTACTCGGAGCAGGAATCCATTTTTTTTTTTTCAGACAAAGTAAAAAAAAAATAAGAAGTATTTTCTGAAGCTACAAATTTAGACGATTTTGCCCATGGATGCAACAGTACAAGAAATGATTCGTCATCTCCCACCTTCTCTCCATTCTTCCAACTTCCGATGTCCCACCTGATTCTTTAATTGTTTTTTGTTTGTTTGTTTTTTGTTTTTTTTGTTTTTTTAGCGTGCAGATCTAAAGGAGAAGGTCGTTGACCGACTTCGCTTACCTTTATGGATGCTGTGTTTAATGATTCTTTTGCAAAATGTATATCGAATGAGAAAACTGAGAAATGATCGTGTCTCTTTTGTTGTATTGTCAGGAAGTCAAAGACGAAAACCACATTTGGTCATAGAATCACTTTCCATTTCAATGAATCTATTATTCAACAATGTCTTCGAGATCTATAGGGCCACTCATCCAGTATTTTGCCTTCATCTATGTATTAATGCAACTATCAGTCTCAGGTTGTCCCTATCTATCTATCTATCTATATCTATCTATCTATCTATCTGTATCTCTATTGATTGAGGTGACTATCAGTCTCAGGTTGCTCCTATCTATCTATCTATCTATCTATCTATCTATCTATCTATCTATCTATCTATATTTATCTCTATCGATTTAGGTGACTGTCTATCAGTCTCAGGTTGTTCCTATCTATCTATCTATCTATCTATCTATCTATCTATCTGTATCCCTATTGATTGAGGTGACTGTCTATCAGTCTCAGGTTGTTCCTATCTATCTATCTATCTATCTATCTATCTATCTATCTATCTATCTGCATCTCTATTGATTGAGGTGACTGTCTATCAGTCTCAGGTTGCTCCTATCTATCTATCTATTCATTCATCTATCTATCTATCTATCTATCTATCTATCTGCATCTCTATTGATTGAGGTGACTGTCTATCAGTCTCAGGTTCTATCTATCTATCTATCTATCTATCTATCTATCTATCTATCTGTATCTCTATCGATTGAGGTGACTGTCTATCAGTCTCAGGTTTTCCTATCTATCTATCTATCTATCAATCTATCTACCTATCAATCTATCTATCTATCTATCTATCTATCTGCATTTCTATCGATTGAGGTGACTGTCTATCAGTCTCAGGTTGTTCCTATCTATCTATCTATCAATCTATCTACCTATCAATCTATCTATCTATCTATCTATCTATCTGCATTTCTATCGATTGAGGTGACTGTCTATCAGTCTCAGGTTTTTCCTATCTATCTATCTATCAATCTATCTATCTATCTATCTGCATCTCTATTGATTGAGCTGACTATCAGTCTCAGGTTGTTTCTATCTTTCTATCTATCTATCTATCTATCTCAGTCTATTCGTCGCTTTCAGTTGAGGTGACTATCAGTCTCATGTTGTTCCTATCTATCTATGTATCTATCTATTTATCTCTCAATATATATGTATATATATATATATATATATATATATATATATATATATCTACGTATGTATGTATGCATATATGTATAAAAATGTCATTGTGACCGAGGTTTTGACTTTCCTCAACTTGTTCAAACTGCTGATCACGCTGAATAACACACTATTTCTCAGAAACTGTAACTAAGCTCCGTTCAGCATAGATACAATATAAACTACAGGTGGACTCTGTGGGTGTTGAACAAACATAAATGTGCCTGAGCAGGAGTCTGCAATAGGAATTGTTTAGCCGCCCTAATAGACAGTTATCCTCGGATACGCGTGGAAGGCCATTTGATTTGATATGTAAAGAAGTAATGGATTTTTTGTTTATAAATCCGACATATTTTTATCTCTTCAAACGTTATTTTTAGTGGATACCCATATTTGAAAAGACGTTCCATTTATATTAAACAGTATTTCATTTCGTCTGCTGTCCTGAATATTCAAGAAATCTTATTAAAGAAAAAATGCACCTTCCAGCAGGATGCGAACTTGCGTCCCCGTTGGCAGTGCCGGGCGGTGGCCATTTTCTATAATAAGGTTTCTCGAATATTCAGCTCGGCAGACGGAATAAAATAGTGTTTAACAATACGGGCATTCACAAAAAAATAGCATTTATATACACACATAAATATCTATATATGAGAGAAAACAGTATTTAATTTTTTATACACCAAAACAGTAATACAAAACAAGATAATAAGCTAAAACTTGAAAGAGAAATTTAGTCTTTCAACTGTCATAATTGCCACACAAAATACATAGGAGAAACCGCGAGGAATTTAAATAAAAGATTATACGAACACAAAGGAGATCTTTTGCAAAACACACTTAATGAATTAGTTGCTCGCAGTAATTATTATGACCATAATTTTGATTAAAAAATGCTATTTTAATTAAAACAGATTTACTTAGTCGAAAGAATATATAAAGTGATTTAATCGCTAGATCTTCCACTTTTCAACATCTCAAGTCTATACATATATATCTACCTATTTTTTTCTAAAAAAATCCACATTATAACCAAAAACGTTTCCGGCACCTCTCTTCTCTTCCTTTTAATATACATACTTTTCTCTCGTTGGAACCACTACAACCTCCTTCTTATATATATATATATATATATATATATATATAATTGGCCCTGATCTGGCTTCTCGAATACAGTCACTCTCTCACAGACGCGCCGTCGCCTCTCTCTGTCTTTTCTACAAATACTTTCATGGTAATTGCTCTGATGAGCTGCTTTCACTGGTTCCCAGACCTCATGAGTTCAAGCGCCCTACGAGGCTGGCATCCCGCTCTCACCCTTACACTGTAGAAACTTTCAAATGTAGCCGTTTCTTCTACTCCAATAGCTTCATACCTCGCACCTCTCGCCTGTAGAACACCCTTCCCAATTACTGTTTCCCTGAGAGCTATAATCTCCAACTATTCAAATGTAATGTCAATCGACACCTCCAGTTACCTTGATCTACCAACTATCCTTCTCCTCATCCTTTCTTCTATCACTCCTATCTGCTCTCGCTCCAAATCTTCTGCAACCCCCTGCATCCTAGTGGCTTCACGCCTTGCTCGGGGCGTAATGCTTAAAAAGAATGTATATATATATATATATATATATATATATATATATATATATATATATATAAAATATTTAAAAAATATGATTCCAACTCGCGACATAAGAGGTCTCATATTTATGCTCTACTTTTGTATCGAGCACTATTTTTAAAAATAATAACTAAAATACTAAGGAACTTTGGATTATTTACCTAACCAGTTCCTTCCTATTTTCTATATATTTTCACATATATATATATATATATATATATATATATAGGTCTGACGTGCTGTTATTCATTGAGCCACAAAGAGCTTCCGGTTAACAAAGTTCAAAATGTGTTCCTATATATATATATATATATATATATATATATATATGTGTGTGTGTGTGTGTGTGTGTGTGTGTGTGTGTGTGTGTGTGTGTGTGTGTGTGTGTGTAAAAAATTCAGATACAATTAAAATATATCTGGAAAAAGACAATATGTATTTATTAAAATTAAAATAAAATAATAATTACATGAAAAAAATAATTCAGCAACAACGATAACAAATCTAACCAGTTTCGTTTCTTAAGCATAAAATAACAATTTGACATCCTCCATAATTTACCTTGGCTTTCACAGTTAGTCAAAATAATATTTTTCAGCGTTCATAAATTTAAAAGTTTTGAAAACCTAACCGTGTTCGCAGTTCTGTTCATAAATGCATCTTGAAAAAATAAAATCAATACATTTACGTAAAGTCTATCATACGACGAAATACGTTAGCAGAGAAAAGTTGTCTTTTTGCCTGTATTGATATCTATCAATCTAGACATCTATCTATGTCAGTGTGTTCATATCTATCTCCTTATCTGTCTCTGTCAGTCTGTTTATATCTATCTATCTATCTATCTATCTATCTATCTATCTCATTCAGTTCATCTATCTCTCTATCTATGTATGTCCGTCTGTTCATATCTGTGTCAGTCTGTTTATATCTATCTATTTATCTATCTATCTATCTATCTATATATATATATATATATATATATATATATATATATATATATATATATATACCTAACTATAGGATTGGTGTATACAGAATACATTCCAATAACCAACAAATACTATTCTTAAAAGAGTGTTCAATACAGAGTATAGCAAATATAATTATTCAATCGAAAATTATAACATAGATATGTCATAAAATCACTACAAAAATAGCCATTTTGTTTCAACACTTCTGGTGTCTTATCAAGTGATGGTGTTGAATGTAGAATAAAGGGTTTAAAAAAGGTTTTATAATTTTCGAATGAATAATTATATATATATATATATATGTGTGTGTGTGTGTGTGTGTGTGTGTGTGTGTGTGTAGCGAGAGAGAGAGATTATCGATGTCAATCTCTTCATATCTATCCATATCACCCTTTTCATATCTATCTATCTCAGCCTGTTCATATCTCTCTATCTACCTATCTATCTTTATTCGTATATATGGACATGTCTTTCTATAAACTATCAACGATATTTTAGTAGGTAGCACGTTTTTGAGTAGAGCTGTTTTTACAAACCATGGAATTAACATCTACCGGCCTGATCATCGAAAGTCTTATCGAAATGTACCTCTCGGCATGAATCGAACCTGCCTTTTCTTTATCGTTGGAAAACACCTTTTAGCCAGGCGTGCCTTTATCGTTCGGCCAAGGAGGTCCTTACAGCAAGGCAGGACTCGATTAATCTCTCGTTGGGACATTTCGGTGTCTATATCTGCTATGAATCAATTAATGACCTGCAATCTCCACGTCAGTCTCTTTCCCACCGCCGTGACGTGGCTTCCCTCTGTCTTTTCTACAAATATTTTCACGGCAATTATTCTAATGAGCTCCCCCTCCTTGTTAGATCGACCGCATGAATTTAAGCGTAGACTGGCAACTAGGTCTTATAGTTTTACTGTTGAACCATCTTAACCGTAAGTTCTATTCTAATAGTGTCTTTTCTAGCACTTCCCAACTGTGGAATTCCCTTCCGTTTTCTTGCCTACTTGCCACCTACAATCTTAAAAAATTTAAATGCAACGTCAATCGCCATCCTCTGTCTTCCTGAATCCTGTTCTTTTATTGTCCTTTCTCCTCGCTAAAGTCGTCTCATTCTCCTCCACTTCTAAACGCACAGATTACGGTCACATCACCTTTAAACACTGGTTCACATGCGATCATCAAAGTTAAGCAACATCGAGCCTGGTCAGTACCTCGATGGGTGACCGCTTGGAAATACCAGGTGATGTAAGGTTGGATGTGCGGGTGGTGTAATGGATAATGGTTCTGAATTGTTAATCGGAAAGCCGAGTTCTAATTCCAGTCGAGTTCGTTATAATGTATGAATCCACCTATTCCCCACCCCCGCCTCAATATTTTTCTTACAATCTAAAGATATTTTCTGGCTTTAAATAACCTGTAAAAGGTTGATAAGCCGTGAATAACAACTCAATCAATCAACAATCAATCTGTCTTCCCGAATACTCTTCTTTTACTGTCCTTTCTCCTCAATAAAGTCTTCTCATTCTCTTCCACTCCTAGTAACTCCATGCGTCTTAGTGACATTAACGCCTTGCTTGGGGTGAAATGATTTTTAAAAAAGAAAAAAATAATGGATTTTTCTTTTTTTCTTTCTTATTTTTTAATCCGCCAATATTTCTTATAAGAAATAATGTCGGATTAAAAAATATATATTTACACTATAAATATAAAAATTGTAAATAATAATACCTTCTAATCCAAGAAGTTCAGACGGAAGTTATCGAATCGATACGGACCCAAAGTGATTCACCAATGAAGGCGGTCGTGTTAACAACAACAAAGATGAGGACAACAGTCAAAGCCAAGTTTAAATAATGATAACTCTTCATCCTAGAAATTCAGAGTAATTAAAAAATATATATTAATTGCTTAAATTACTATGTCTGTTCGTATCTCTCTCTACAATTTATATTTATACTTGTACGTTATATTTAACGTCAAAAAACGACATTCTTACGTCATTATTTTTGCACCAACCTAATATTTTAGATTACGAGGGAGGCCTGAAAATTTCATAGGCTGATATATTTCTCGTTTTTTTCTTTAATAAATTCATTTTTCATTGGTGTAACGTTGTTTTTATAGTGTGTGTGTGTGTGTGTGTGTGTGTGTGTGTGTGTGTGTGTGTGTGCGTGCACGGTGTTGAGAAGTCTCTGACTGTGCACACCTTCTGTCGAACTCTCTGCATTAGCAGAGAGGAACCCGGACGAGGCTTTGCCGAAGGGCAAGGTTTCGTCCGGGGAGGTAGACAGGGCCTGAAACCGTCTAATCGGCTTCAAAAAGCTATTTTTTTTTTGGCTGAGCCTACGGGCTCGGAGAAACCCACAATAAAACCGGCCTTGTGCCATATTCGTTTCTCGTGGGTGAAATGATAAATACCGTACGTATGCACGCGTACGTGTTTTAGGTGCGCTCGCTTGCGCGTATGTGCGTACGTGTAAAACTGGGGTTATACTTTTCCTTTTCTTTCAGTTGTAACAATTTTGATATATATATATATATATATATATATATATATATATATATATATATATATATATATATATATATATAGCTTAAAACCGCACTCTGTGCAGACTTTTAAGCGAGTTGCTGCGAAAGGGTAATGGGTCTTCTTCCAGCACAAAACTAAAGGGACCTCTGGCCTATTTTAGAAAACAGCAATGAAGATTTTGAAGAATTCACTCCATAGAACTTAAAAACTTTATTTTAACTCTGATTCAGGCTATAAGTCCAATTCCTGCCAAAAACCGATTTGAGCCGAAATTCCGATTCAGTTCTTCACATCCCAATCTCTGTGGAACTTCAAAATCACACTTTAATTCTGATTCCTTGAAATTTTGAAGAAATAAAACTGATTTCCTCAACTCACGAAGTTTTGGAGATATTTTAAACTGAATTTAAAACAAAAAAAATTTAATTCAAAAAATGTTTGTGTTACTTTACGTCAATATAAATTAAAAACTTTTAAAATCATTCATTTCCTCAGTTATTTTAAAATTTGTATTTTTTAACTGTTTCCTCATCATCCGGGCACAAATCCGAATGCTAGATGGTTAAACACCAGATGAAGGGCTGATTTTCAATCCTAAGATCATCTTGATTTCAAAAAGGTAAAATATGTCTATGTAAATCAAATGTGGCCCAAGTTAGATAGATTTCAGACGCCTGGACAGACAAACAAACAGAATTTGCCGTTTATTTATTTAGATATATGATTGTCCTAAAATGAAAACTTCTAGCTTCTTCTAACCATTTGTCATCCATTTGTTCTAACCAGTTCTTCAATTTTCTGATTTCGATGTCGTCTCTGAGTTGATCGATGAAGGATCTTGTTTGTCTATCTCTTGATCTTTTGCTACAATTGGTCCCCATCATATAAGCAGATGAACAATTTCTTGTTTATTTCTTCAGCAATGGCCACTAAATCTCACGCGCCTTTCACTGATTGTTTCCGTAATCTTTCGTAGGTTCGCCTTTAGTACTTCTTGGACAAATGTTTCTAGGTGACATTTAACGCAGCCTTCAATAATCGAGTGGGCGTAGCATCTATGTTTTGTTTTGTTTTTTATTTATCGCTAGTGATTTTGTTAATCTCCAACTGCTTGACTCCTACAAGGAGGTACTCCTACTATTGACCTAAAGAGCTACACTTTCAAATGTTTTTCATTTTTGACTTCAATAACCTTTTTTTCATTTTTGACTTCCAGATACTACACTCTGATCCTAGACAAACGGCCAAGGAATGACACTTTAATCATTTGCTTTTTTTTTTTATTGATAGATTTGTTTTTACGGCTTATCAATCTTTTGCAGGTTATTTAAAGCCAAAAAATATTTTCAGATTGTAAGCATTTTTGGGAGATAATAATATATATTTTTACATTTTTGGAAAATTTTCCATAAAAGGCAAAAAAAAAATTTTTTAAGTAAAAAAGGATAAAATAAATAAGAAATCATGAAAAGGAAGAGGAAAGAAAAGAAAGGCATAAGAAATCAACCCTACTACCAAGAGAATGGGAAAAAAGAAAGGGAAAAGGGGCGGAGTATATCCAAATTATACAGATACAAAGGAAAAGGAAAGAGGAGAAAATAAGATAATGGAAGTTGTTGATACAGGTTTAAAACAATGAAACCATGCTATACACGATATACTCCTCTCCTTCTTTTTTCATTTTTTTCTTTTTTGCCTTTTCTGGAAAATTTTCCAAAAATGTAAAATGAAGTGATGTTTCATAAATAGTAATTTTAAATAAAATCGTTTATTAGCATTATTGTTAACTACTTGATGAGACGTGTTTAAACGTTGAAGCAAAATATTCAATTTTGTAGTAGTAACTTGCATGTTCTAATGTAACAGTTTATAAGATAGATAGATAGATAGATAGATAGATAGATAGATAGATAGATAGATAGATAGATAGATAGATAGATAATGTGCTTTTGTAAATATACAAGATGTCCCAACCAATGTATATTTGGGCAGCAAATTTATTTCAAACATATTTTGTTGAATATTATAGAAAAAAAAAAACATGATGAATTTTTCATTAAGTTTTGTTAGTATTCTTAAATTTTTCCGTGTGGTCGGGAATAAGACAGTGTAAAAATTAACCGTAGTGTCTATTCCCCCAAGCGCTTTCAGCCACTTCTTATCCATTTTCAAGGAGCTTGTTGTTAAACGTAGTTAAGTTCTTTTCATGAGTGTCTTGTGTATGTCTATATAGTAGTAATGTTCATTCCGAGCCACGCGAAAGGAACGTGGCTGGAAATCGAGCTGGCGCCCTGCTATCTTAAAGATAAAAATTTTTGCGCATTATTTCCATTGTCAAATAAGGTGAGATTAATCTGGGTGACAGATGTTTTATATAGAGTGTTTCTCTCACAGCGAGATGTTTTTGGGTACGAGATTTATGAAGGATGAACGTGTTGTCGACCAGAATTTTCTCATGGGTTCTTGTAGACTGTGGGAAGGATATATATATATATATATATATATATATATATATATATATATATATATATATATATATATATGTCCGAATGTAATGAGAACGAAAATAATATAAATTCTAGCATTCACAGCATTAATTCAATACCAAGAGTAGAGCAATAATTATTTATTAAAATTCTTGCATACGGACAAAACAACTTACGACAAAGACGCATTTTTATTTCGATGCGCATCTTGACTGGTGAGAAAACAATGCTTTTCACCAGTCGAGATGCATGAACATCGAAACAAAAATGCATCTTTGTCGTGAGTAAGTTGTTTAGTCTGTATGTAAGAATTATATATATATATATATATATATATATATATATATATATTAATGCATGTTTTATTAAATGATATAGACAAGTTTTGTCTATTTATTTCAAGTAAGTTGCCTATAATTTATAACAGAAGCCATTGGTTTATACCAACGGCTTCCCATACTTAATACTTCTCGTTTTTCACTCTCGCGTTGTCATGTGTGGCGTCACGAGCTGCGACGCGATTTTCGCTTCCGCGTCTCGTATATACGAGTTTGTCGTTACTTGGAAATTTTCATGCAGCAAGGGCGGACTATCATTGTTGTTTCGTCCGTGTGTTGTTTGATTTATTGAAATTGTCATCATTGATAATGACTTGTGAAAGCCGAAAGCTTTAAACATGTATCACTATGGTGTTTTCCTTTCGTCTTTCAACGATAATGTTATTAAGCTTATCAGACAATATGAAAGGATCTTACTTAAAATAAATAGACAAAACTTGTCTATATTATTTAATGAAACATGCATTAATGAAAAATTTCTGCCTAAATATACATAATATATATATATATATATATATATATATATATATATATATATATATTATAAATGGCATACGTGATACACGCGTAGGCGATCATGTATCTTTCGATACATGACAGACGAGGCAGAAGTTTTTTTTTCTGCGGTAGGTTACCATTTATTTCTGCGGTAGACTACTTGCCATCCAAAGCTATAGAACTCCGTCTGTCCTACTATTTACCCATAGCTGGTGGGAGAAGATGAGGGTTCCACCTTTCCCAAGGGTATTAGCACGTAAGTGAATGTAATGGATTCGACTGGAATTCGAACTCCGATTCCTCAATCCGAGCCGCTATCGATTATTCCACCGTCCGGACAGACACCATACTGTCAGAGATTTGATAGATTGTTCGGTGATGGGCTTATTAAATC